GCAAATAAACAAAAATAAACTGGTAAACTGGTGTGTGCAACTGTTTTTCCTGAACTGCTCCAGTGGCTCTGACGGGATGCCGTCCTGGAACATGAGTCATTTGATTCATAGTGAAAACCTCCACTGGCAGTAAAACATTAAAAACTAAATTGTTCCTTTAATTACAAATGAAAAATGAAATTGACCTTTTGCAAATTAATTTCATGCTTTATGCTGTCTCCCAGCTAAAGCTGGTCTGTAATTCAAGTCTTGGCTGCAGCCTCTCTGTGTGGACTTTGGCCCAGTGTGTGTTTTGCCTGACTACTCCGGTTTTTCTCCCGCACGTTTTGGCCATTCTGGATCAATCATAGACGTGTAAGTGCTGAGTACATGGTTGTCTTTCTTTGCTTGCTTCACCATAGAGTGACTGATGATCTGCTCAGAGGGAAGCTTGTTTTTATTAAAATGCTGTGACAGGTAACCGAGGACGCCGATAACGGATGGGTGCAGGAAAATGTCGCTCACTGACGCCTTACCAGAACTGTACAGGTGATTATATGAATGAAACCGTTTTGCACTTGGATCAAGTACAGACTGTCACAATAAGCCATCTCAGCTCCAATCAAACGTGCACATATACTGGAAACCAGCTGCTTCCCGGCTCACCATGCTGTCGCTGCCAGTTCCTTTGGGCTCACTTATGGGAAGTCTTGGCAAATCATTTAACCACCAAATATGACTCTGGTCCACCACCACACTTTGTCTGTTAATCACAGCTCAGTTAATAACCTATTACATGGTCAGTAAGTTCCCATTGTTAAACTTAAGCACCATAAATCATTTATTTCTAAATAAGCTGACTTGGACACAGAGCCTCAGAGCGTTGTCATCGTTACGCTGCTTCTCAGAAAACAAATACTGCCTGACATTTTCTGAAAAGAAAAGAAAAACTCTAGAAAAGAGGACCAGAAAACCTGAATTTTCAGACATTTTACCTTTTTATGTCCTGGAGAGCTGTAAGGTGGTAATAATATCTGACCTTCCTCCTCACCTTGAGCTGCTTATACGCATCCCTATCTACTCATCATCCTCAGCTCCAGCATCTCTCTAATTCTTCCTGGTAAGAGTGATGGCTCTAAAGCTGAACATGCTTCTGGAGATCCTGTTTTCACTTCAGATTTCATTTCAGTCCTATTTCCTCCCATCACCAGACTGATTTGTCACAGGCTCAGAAATCAGCTGCCTCATCGTTTCTGTGTCTTTTTTGGCATATTTTCAGCCTGCGATTGTTTTGTGTCCTTTCCAACATGTGGCAGCGTTTTGTGTCCTTTCCAACATGTGGCAGCAGCAGCAGCAGCAGCAGCAGCACAGCAGCAGCAGCAGCAGCAGCAGCAGCAGCAGCAGCAGCAGCAGCAGCAGCAGCAGCAGGTGCCCTCTGCTGTTTATCAATGAGCTGACAGTGAATAGGCTGTTTGTAAAAAGATGTAGAGCAGCTTCCCAGCTTTGAAACAGCACAGATGTGAAGTCTCACCACCTTAAGCCCAAGAACATGATGTACTCTCTGGACTTTCTCTGTATCGTGACAACCATAAGCCTATTGTTCTTTGTTGGTGTTTTCATGTAAAAACCCAGATCCAGATGAAAAACTTTGGGAAGATCTGACTGAGCTTTGACGAATGCACCAAACTTTCATTTGATTAAAACGCACTTTTTAGTATTTTTTTGGCAAAATATCTGAATGCCATCCATGTGATGATGGCGCCCTAGTTTATTTTGATCTTTCACTGAAAACTCTCATAAGACACTCTTAGGATTGTGGTTGCAGCAACGGAAGACATTAAAGAGAAACCAATAATTATTCAATGATCCAGTAAAATACAAAGTATGTCTGGCATAAATTTGACTAAAATTAGTGGGAATTTTCACATAATGATTTCCATAACATAAGTATTATGTTTGATAATTAATAGATATTAAGGATTCTGCAGAAACCGAAGGGTAAACATAACCTACGTGCTTTGGGACTTCCACCACAATGTCCTGATATTGTAAATTCCCCTTTCAGTGTTTGAATATGTTATTAAATAATGTTCCCAGAGTTTGGAGTACAGGCTGACCCGGCCTTTTCTTTAGCCACTGAATTGCTTGTTTAAGATGATCTGCAGTGAATTGGATGCTTAGGAAGTGTTTATTGTTTGAAAAGAGAGGCTCTCGCCGCCAGTTCTTCTTCCTCAGGCCCGGGTTTCTTTCCATGAGAGGCTCTTTGTTTGCTTTGTTTCTCTGAGAGTCCACCATGAGCTTCCTTCAACAAATTACTGAGAGAAAGAAGCACTAAACCACTGTGCTACTTTTGTTTTCAATTTTCTGTGCATTTTGAGGTTATTTAATTGAGATGCGTAGAGTAATAAGAGGATTTTGCAACGTTTACAAAGAACAAAAACTTTATGCTCATTATGCATCATTAAGTTCCTCTTCATAGCAACGACATACAGTATGCCTGCAGTTCACAGGCCATGTTTTAATGAACCAACATTGCCAGTAAATTACAGCTGCATCATTAAATTTACAAATATCCATCAGTTAACGCAGCGACGTTTTGAGTTATCAACAGTCAATCGTGTTTGCAAAAAAACCAGCAACCACCTTACAACTTCACAAATAATCAAAGCAACAAAAAGTTATAAAGTGAATAAATTAACAGTTTGAAATAAATAAAAACAAATCTGGCTGAAGTCTGCATGTCAGACACCGATCAAATCGTAGTAATTTTACATAAACGGAAGCATAACAAAAACAAGAAGAACGAAGATGCAGTTTTATCACTGAGCAATCATTTGAGGCAATATAACGTTAGTCACAAAGCTAATAGTGCTTCATTTTAGCAGCGGTTTAAAAAATAACATGACAGCGGAAAGTTGTCAACTTAACATAAGAGGAAATTAATTACAGAAAAATTGTGATTGTTTATGAATTAGGGAATTTTAGCAGTCAGTATCTTACTGCAGCAGAAAGCAGCTTAAGCATCCTCAGCTTGGAGAAAGATAAGTTCTGACTGAACAGCTGACATAACAGATTTTGAGAGAGGAACCAGTTCTAGAGTTAAATTGCTGCCACAGGTACACTGTTGTCTTTTTACACATGATTTTCTGCTTCTGCAGTGTAGCAGCACTTTTCCTCCTCACATTGGCAATGACTGAAGCAATAATTAGCAAACACATCTGCTGAGCTCATGATGCAAACTGTGTCTCAGTCCAGCTGCTCTGTGGTAAACAGCAGAGTGGAAAGGCAGCGTCGTGATGAGGGGCTGAAAGCAGAGGGTCAGAAAGAGCAGGAGCTTCTTATAGAGAAGCGGGACAATTTCACGAGGTCAAACTGTCAAGTCAAATTTCTCGTAAGTCATATTTGACACGATTGAAGGTAACAGTCACTTGATTGTGCTACAAAATGGGACTACAAGCCAGGTAAATACATAATACCAACCTGTAATCCACAACGGCATCCCAGCAGTACATATGCAGCAACTGGTGTTCGTTTTTATGTCAGTTACCTAATAATGCCCTTCAGATCCTCACAAATTTTCTCACAACAGAGCAGATTTCCACGGCACATTATGTAATGACAGTAAAGGAGTTGAGTGAAAGCTACCAGACTTCAGATAACATTACCTAAAAATCATTTCATTCAAAAAGAATGGCAGTACTGACAGCTTTAAAATAAGATTATGTGTGATTTTGAGATAAGAGTTGTTTCAAATGGTAAAAAATAAAAAATCAGCTTTTACAACTGGTCACCCTCACAACAGAAGCTACTTTCACTTTTCCGTGAGAACGTTTCTGTTTCTCCAGCCTGAAACGGAGTCTGGTAGGAAGTAGTATCTCAGTAGTAAGATGTTTACTACTGACAAAAGATCAGCTGAATTCCCCCTACATACGCCAAACCAAGCAAAGTGTTTTGAAACTCAGAAAAAAAGAAAAGAAAAAAACCCCAGCAGGAAGCATATACCTGCCTGGGTTGATAATCCCTCCAAAAACTTTCTTCCAGAGAATTGTGTCACTGTTGCCTCCTGGGCAACAGTTTTTTGTATTAGTTTCTATCTGACAGTTTAGTAATCCACATCACTGAACAGTTCTCCACTGACTTCACCAAAACTCTCTAGTCAGGGAAATATTTAAGTCTCGTCTGTCATAGCACAGGAATCATTGTACCTTCATTTTCAGGAGAATAAATTGTTTTGAAGATTACGATAGGATGTTTGTGAGGCAGAGAAACAAAGAGCATGTGAAATATATCACTGTGGTGCATTTGTGACGGAGCTAAGACAAGAAATCCTTTCAAAGCATCACCAGAATTTGTTTTAGAGATGAGTCTGTCTATGGCAGCACATACCAATGTTTAATCCCAAGAACTGCTCACACTGCTGGTTTTATTTACTGTAATGACCTTATATCTTGTGACTCACTTCTCCTGAATTACGGGCCTCATTGACTTTGCAGAACACGGTTTGTGCAGTGAGTGCACACAGTCGCTGCTACGCATCCTACCGTCACTGTCCTGCACTGACGGCTGCTGGAAATCTCCCACAGAATCTCAATTTGTCTTCACTGAGGTAGCTGAATGCTCACGATCAGAGACATACAAGAGTAAACATCAAATAAGTGATTGCTTGCTGATGTCGTGCCCATAGTGAGGGGCATTTTTGTAGAGAAACAGAAGCCCGTTTAACTTTGAATACCATTGATATTACGTAATATTAACTGTAATGTTCATAAAAGTAGCAATAAAAGTAATAATGGTGATGCTAGTGGTATTGATTTTTTTTAAATACTGTTTTTTTTGTTTGCCAGATATTTTTTTGACATCTGACAAACAGCATCAAATGGTTTTGCAAACAGGCCTCAATGAATACTTTTTGAGATTTTAAAATATATTTGTCATAACTGAAGCTAAATTAACACAACTACTTAGGGGTTAAGATATTTTCAGAGCTAATTTAGGTAATTATAGGCACACTACACTTCAACTCTAGTTTGATGTGCAGACATTGTTTATTTTCGGCATCAGAGCTCAACAACATCAGTGCCAGTAAAAACTTGTTTAATGCAAATTGTAGTGCTTCTTTTGCTGGAAAAAGGCAGTTTCCAAGCAGACTAGTGTTGTTTTCCAATGAGAACGTGCCATCTGCATCTATGTTCACAACAACAGAGCTTTCCTACCGCATGTGCATGAGTCACAAAATATCAGTTCAGTGTCCATTTTTATGTTTCCATATTTTCTTTTTTCTAAAAGAAATGTACATCTTCTCCCATGGAGAAATAACTGACATTCTGCCTCAGCTATGAAATATGGGATGTCAGCAATCCTTATTCAGAAAGAAGCTGAATGCATTTCTCCTCCACTGTGATCAGTGATCTTCTGTGCAGGTGACCTCTGTTAAATCTGTGAATGGGCTTGTTCTTTCGCTCTGTTCAGAGTCCCTCGGTTTGGTTTGCTGTAGGTGGCTTTCAGGAGCTGTGTCAATGACCATCGACATGTGGAGGAAAGTCTGAGAGTTACGCCTGACCATCTGAGGGACTTCAGAGCAGGCGACCACTGTTAAATCTGTGAATGTGCTTGTTCCTTCGCTCTGCCTTGAGTCACTCGGTTTGGTTTGCTGTAGCTGCCTTTCAGTAGCTGTCTCGATGACCAACGACATGTGGAGGAAAGCCTGAGAGTTACGCCTGACCATCTGAGGGACTTCAGAGCAGGCGACCACTGTTAAATCTGTGAATGGGCTTGTTCCTTCGCTCTGTTTTGAGTCACTCGGTTTGGTTTGCTGTAGCTGGCTTTCAGTAGCTGTCTCAATGACCTCCGACACGTGGAGCAAAGCCTGAGAGTCACGCCTGACCATCTGTGGGTCTTCAGAGCAGGCGACCACTGTTAAATCTGTGAATGTGCTTGTTCCTTTGCTCTGTTCTGAGTCACTCGGTTTGGTTTGCTGCAGCTGCCTTTCAGTAGCTGTCTCCTTGACCTCCGACACGTGGAGGAAAGTCTTAGAGTTAAGCCTGACCATCTGTGGGTCTTCAGAGCTCCCAGAATGATAGCTGGTGGAAGGGGGCTGGTGAGCACTTGAAAGGGTAATTGCCACTGACCTTCTTCTTATTCCTGTTTTGGCAAATGTATACTTGATTTTCTCAATAACTTTATATAAAACAGATTTACGCAGAAGGATGTAGATCCAGGGGTCCAGGATAGGGTTTAAGGAGGCGAAGCGAACTGCCCGTAAATCTGGGCTCTTTGCAATGTTTAGCTCCACTGGAGGCTTATAAAGCTGGTTTAGGAACACCTGGACCTGCAACAGAGACACATTGGTTGATAAATGCATTGAAGTTGTACAGATGTATTTGCATCTGGTCTACCTTGCTAAAGCTTTCACATCCTCTAAACCTTTTCAAATTTTGGCATGTTACAACAATCACTTAAATGCATTTTATTGGGATCTTATGAGCAGAGCAACACAGTGAAGCACATTACTGGGATGTGAAAGAAAAATTATACATAATTTTTACTTAAATAAATTATATGTATATATATATATATATATATATATATATAGATATATATAATATATCTATATATATATATATATATATATATATATATATATATATATATATATATATATATATATATATATAAACATACAGCAAATGACAAATTATTCATCCTTTTATTGATTAAAAAAAAAATCATGTTAAAGAAAATGTAGCACCATCCAACCAGACTGAGTTAGAGTTATTTTGCAAGCAAGAAGGTGCAAAAATTTAAGTCTCTAGAAAATGGCAAAGATATACACTTATTATTATTCTGCATACAGGTCAAATTTAGAATATTTATTTCTAAGTCATGAATTAGTGTCAGATTTAAACAAATTATTATTTCAAAAGGATTTTTTAAAATTGTCATATAGTACAAAACATAAGAAGTAAATCTTCACTAACAGTGTAGGAAAAATCATGAATCTGTATCTGCTTAATCTATACAGATGCGTGTGCATTGACTTTTAGATAATAACAATGTCAGTGATCAATAACAATAGATAACACACCTGATAGAATATTCAATATGTAGAATATTCACTAAACTCTGATCCAGAACCGCACAGCATTCTGGGAGATGTAGGCAGAGGAACGGCTTTGGCTGCTCCACCTCTGACAGAGAGCTAAGCTCGGTTGGTTGTAGCATCAACTAACTCCCTCACTCTTTGTTTACCTAGCAACCTGCAGTGTTAGTTTACTGTTTCACCACCAGGCTGTTGTTTCTTAGAAATAAGAAACAACAGCATGGTGGAGTGAAAACTGTGGGCAAAACAGGTACGGTCAAATAAAAAAGTAACCTATAATTATTTATATCGACATTATTGACATTAATGGTTAAATTATTACAAGTTTATCATCCAGACCTAAATTGGAATAATTTTACCAGATTAAAGTTCCTCCTGGATCAGATGAAGTTTATCATGACATAATGATTGGTGGCCTGGAAGAGTGGATGAGATTGTCTGGTAGAGTGTTAAATCAGCGTGGATTTTAATTATCAGACTGCTACTGATTTGTGTAATTTCATAACTAAATCACACGAGAGATTCCTTGAGAAGCTACTCCTGGGCCACTTCATTTCAATACCTATTAACCCGACCTCAGGCAAACATTTATGTCTACTCAGCTACTATTTTTATCATTTTATCAAGGAATAAATGGGTCAAAACTTCTTTAAACTCAATGCAGATGAAACAGCTTATTCTTTTAAACACAAATATTCAAGGTCGGAGATTAAGACTCGTCTCAATGAGATTAGAAAACTAACCATGCAAAAGGTCTAATTATGAATTCAGACCGAAATTCTAACATCCAGATTGTAGATCATCCAGATTAATGATCGTTAATAAATAATCCTCTCGATAACATCTGTGGTCTGGGATTCCTGTGTAAACCGGAGACAGAAAAGCTGCTGCAAGCTTTAATTTTCAGATTGGAATATTTTTGATGCTGTCTTTACTGTGGATATAATAATTACTGCTAACTGAAATGCTGCTGCCAGAGTTCAGACCACACTGCAATAAATCACGTCATCAGTTGTTATAATCACAGCACTGGCATCCGGATGGCCTGTAAAGCACTGAATAGTCTTCTGACCAGATGCAATCTGAGGCTGTCTGTCAGCATGCACCATAAAAAACCTGTTTACTTTGTGTTCCATGGATCAACACTAAATAAGGGAAGACAGCTTCCTGGAAAAACTGATGTGCAAAACCATTGGGCTCTCTTCAATTAGGGTTAACACCATATGAATAACTTTAATGCATTTCTTATCTTCAGTTTAGGATAGTTTATTTTTTCTGTAAAACTGCTACCCTGTCAAAGGTACTTTACAAACTTCAGATTGAACAAGCATTTTTTTTTTTAAATGTTCAAAAATGGGAATCATCTAGAAGTAGCATTAGTGATTATCCAGACAAATTAACAGAAAGACAAAATATTCACAAATGTAGTCGGATTGCAGCAACTTTCCCTGATACAACCATTTGAAATGGCAGCGCGTAATGGTGCGCATGGACGACAAGCAGCTTGGATACTTACTATAAGTGGGAGGGAGCAGATGAGCACCACGGTCGTTGTGGCGACGAGCACAAGTACCATCTGAATCTCTGTGTCGGCCAGATGTGCTAAGTTGGTCGATTTCTTCCACGAGTCCACGGTGCACCCGGAGTCGGTTCCCTGCGACATCCTGCGCAAGAAGTTCTTGTGCATCCGAATCAGAACCACGCACAACAGCACGTTAAAGATGACAGTGGCGAAGATGAGCAAAATGCTGATGCTGGCGTACAGATAGGAGTAGACGGCATGGGTGGTGTGGTTGGTTCGCCAATCCAAGAAGCACCAGGTCTGCGGGTACTGCATCACCACCTGCCCGAAGCCGATGGCGGGCAACGCGCTGAAGAGCGCATTGGAGATATAGATGGCCACCAGGGTGTGTCCGGCAAGTTTCTGGCTCACGTGGTCGTTGTAGACGTAGGGATGGTTCACAGCGATGTATCTCTCCACAGACATGGCAAAGATGATGCTGAGTCCCGCCAGGGAGAAAAAGAGCAAGATGAAGCCCATGTACTGGCACAGCGGGTCCCCTCCGGGCCACTTTCCCTGCATGTAAGTGGTTATAGTGACCGGACTGGCCAGGAGCGTGCCCATGAGGTCCGTCACCGCCAGGCCGTACACGAGCGTGTAAAACGTGGTCTCCTTTTTCTCTCTGCGAGTCCTACACAAAACTGCGATGGCGATGACATTCCCGACCACCCCCAGGATGAACATAAGGGTCGGGATGGTCGCAGGTAAGGTCCTTATCGACGGATCAATCGTTGGCTCGTTCATCGTCGTGTCCGCTCGGGCTTCACTCGGAGGGCAGAACTTTTTCTCGAGGCCAGAAAGTTATTTGCTCGCGAAGAAACAGACTCGTCCAAACACCAGCTGGCTGCACCTTATCTGAAAACCTTCCGCCCGGCGCAGAGCATCCTCTCCCTGCTCCTGCGGCCGACGGACCTCATGGGATTTCTAACAACATCAAATGAAAAATCATCTGCAAACTGGTCCATGCAGGCGGTTGTCAGTCAGCGGGACACGCGGATGTGTGAAATGTGTGAAAAGAGACACCGGAGGGTTCATTGACATCCAGCCTCCCGCGGACTTCAGTCCCGCCCCTTCATTCAAACTGTTTGCTCCACAGCTGGGAACGCGACGCGCGTCGGAAGGACGTTGGGCGAAGCGCGTCCAGTTGAAACACTTTTACATTTGCTGAGCGGACGTTAAACGACCGTTAGGCGAAAGTCCAACCGACGTCCGGTGAACGTTGTCTGCGGACATTTAGCGAGAGGTGGCGCTCTCCCTTCCCTCCGTTGACGTTTGGTGTTTCAAACAGACTATTGAAGTATTAAAGCAATGATCAAAAACACTTTATTCTGCTACATTAGAGTAAAACTTTAGAAAGTATGGAAGTATGGAGCAATAATTTGATGTCATTGGATTAGAAATTAAAAAATAGTAATAAAAATAAACCAAAAAATAAAATCAAGGAAGGAATTTTCACATCACATTCATTCTATCCTTTGTAAAGTAGGCTACTCTAATCTCTGCAACAGCAACACCTCCACAACATGATGTTTCCACCACCTTATTTCACAGTTCGAATGGCTTGTAAGATTCACACCTTGGGCTCCAGTGGTAATGATGGTCTGTGGGGACAAACATTTCAGCAGGTCTGCAAAAATTAAGGATTTGCAAACTGTAATTTGGCTATTTATGTTCTTTTTTTTACTAATGGCTCCCTATTAGCACATCTTTCGATGTTGTTGCATTTGTGGCTTTTGGATTTTGTTGATTGTTGAAGGTCGTAATTTGTCATTTACTAGATGCTTTAACTTAAAAAGTAGTAGTATGAGCTGTTCTTGCTAAAGTCAGATTATATTAATCTTTGTAGCTGCAGCCGTGCTGCTGCACTTGCAAAAAATCTGCTAAGCTATGTCAGAAAATTCACAATCCACCTGTCCAGGCCGAGACTCGCCATTGGTTGTGACAGAACATGTCCAATTTCAAGGAACCAAGAAGCTTGACTCCAGTTGCCTGACATCACTAAGCTGACCCTGCTCACATTGAAATCACACCTTCTAGTTTTCTTTGTTGTCACTTTCAGACATGAACACAGAACCAAAGGAAACCCTCAGGGGCAATTCCAAGCCTTGAAAAAGGATTCCCCCCCCACCACCACCACCTCACAGAGTGTAATTTGTAGCTGATTGTGTGTAACTGGCCAACAAGCCGTGTTACATAAGACAATGCAGCTATCATATAGAGGGTAATGTCCTCCTGCTGTTTGCTACTGTACGTGCATGTCAACTCTCAGACCTTGCAGAATGTACTGTAAGTAGATTTGACAGATTAGACTTTCATATGAATGTGCATTTCCAGGATTTGTTTGTTGAAGTCAGATAACCTGCAGAGTTTATTTTCCACTGGAAATCAAAATAATGACCACAAACTTGGCTAAAAGAATCAATTTTCCTGCATACTTATTGTAGAAAAACACAATTGCACATGAGAGTGGGCCTTTTTTAATATAATTTAGCTTGTTTTCTTGCAGAACTTTGTGTTCTAAAGAAAGCAAAGGAAAAAATACCCTCCAAACTCATAATTTGTACTACTGCTTTTATTCATCAGCCAAACAATTGCGACAATGTGTTGTGGAAGTGATTTGTTGGACGCATGTATTTCTGTGCTCTAAATAACATGGAAAATAGCACACACTTCCTTCTTGTTTAGGATTTCGTCTTATTTATGACAAAACAAAAGCAATCAATGTAAGATGAAAAACTACATAAGGTCAAGTGTTTGAGGCAATGAGTGAACTTTCTTTATTTTTCAGATAAAAATGTTTTTCACTTTATATCAACCTATAAATTTTAATCTTGATAAATGGGAACACAGATGAGCTATTTACAAACCTACATGCAGTATTTCATAACTAAAATTGGTAAATTGGTTCATTTTAGGTTGACAAGAAATGTTGGCATCATATGCAAACTTTTTACACCATTTATTGTCTAAGTTGTTGTGCATCATTTTCAACATTTTCTCTGCATCAGATTCATATACCTGCATATATTCATGTATACCACAGATGGGACAACTAAAAAAAATCAGGTGTCAAACTTCAGTCCTCCAGGTAAGGCATCCTGCTTACCTTAAATGTGTCAACACATTTGAGTCACATAATTGTGTCAATAGGGCTAGACTGTTTATCTCCGTCACATTTGTCTTATCATCCTTGATGTTTGCAAAACAGCAAGTGCATATCTTAAAGCAACAGCAAAATTCCATAGACAACCTACAAAAGTCAGCCTCTTTCTCAAAATCCTTAGTTTATCTCTCTTAAGTAAATATCTAATTCAGTGAACATGTTAGTGTTCATGTTAGAATGACAAGTTATTTTATTGTTTATGGATAAGACAGTCAAATTACTTTGTCATGTTGTCAATATAACAATGTACTCTTAAGGGTTATATAAACTATGAGAAAAGTTTTAATGGCAATCATTGTCAGCCGTAATTGTGGGAAATTAATTACAACATTTACATGCACGGTTTTGATGTTTATGCTGCAATTCGTTGAGATACCATGTCATTGCGTAGGAAAGGACAAACAATAAAAGAATAATTAGGAACATAAGACAAACTAAAAGAAAAACATGCAGCGTTGTATAAGCAGTGCAGAATTTAAGGAGCTCCTGCCACTGAATCATTTTATGAAGTCTGGAGCGCCATTGCATTCATGAAGACTCCTTCATGTTCATACCAGGTGTACTTTTCATTAAACAAACATTTCTGCATCTAAATTTTTCTTATTAGTCTGATGAAATATTCTAATATTAAATACTGTGTTTTAATTAACTGTAAGTAAAAAAATCACCGCAGTTGAGTGGAATAAAAGCTTGAAAACATTAGTATATTTGTAATTAATCTATAAAACGTGATTCACTTAAATGAATTCATTTTTCATTATTATTTTTAATTTATTGAGTGTGACTGTTTCTTTATGAATGAGGTTGGCACCTTAAAATGCATTGAGTTGTCAGGTAAACGCTTCCTGTCGGTCAACTATTCCGAGCCCATCTCACCAGGAGTCGAAGCGCATTGGGCAGCTGTCCTTGGGGACAGTTTTCCTCCAGCTCGTTTTAAATATAAAGTTTGGATAGAGTTGGGATGTGTTTATTCTGCGGTCTAGATGATTTATAGATAACATCCGTGTGCAATGTCTCTCAACATAACAAAGTTTCAGTGCACAGGATCAGATGTAAACAGTTTGAACTGGCACTGGTTTGCCAGCAAGAAAACAGAAACCGAATGTTTTCTCACAGTTTTAAGACTATATATACATTTGTTTAGACTCTCAGCAAAGGTTTTCAACTTAATTGGACTCTACTTGTTATATATTTGCATTTAAGCTGATTACAATTGGACAATGAGATATTTATTTAAAGTCAGTGCAGTGTTTTTTCCAGTTATTAAAAGTTCAGGCTGCAACGCTGCAAACAAAAGTTTCATTTTCCAGTTACATGACAAGGAATAGGAATTTATTTGTAGATTAATATGTTATTATTATGCATTCATTTTATGTGTTTATTTTATATTTAGTCATACAATATCACACATTTTTTTAGAAATGTTACATTGTGTATGGTTATGTTTGCATGTATCAATATTTAACGCTTCGGAAGGAGTAGCAATTTTCTTTTGGGCATCAATAAAGTATATTCCAATCGATTGTGCAGTCTTGTGCATGTTATATATTTATTTTTTTTGAGGAGAACATTATATCTCTAAAGCAGTGTGACTCATATGTCAACAATAAGATCAGATAATTGCAGGAAGTTTCCTAAAATCATGGCAAACTTAAACAAGATTCATCAGAAAAAACTGCTGTTAAGTTTCAGCATTATGGATGTAACCATTGACTGGGAAAGTACTGTTAATGGTTATACAATTATATTATTGCAGTTTCTTATTAAGATAATAGAAACTGTGTCTCGTTACTGATGATGCATAAATTGAGATGTGGAAAATGGCCAAGTCTTTTTGTTTCATTTTTGTGTGAACAACGTCATGTAGACAAAAAGGAAATGGATTTTAATGATCAGTTTTAAGGTTAAATAGGCATTCGGGAATCACCTCAACTTTAATCTGCTGAACGTTTACACATTTTCACATTAAAAGACTTTTAAAGCATAAACTGTCTGCAAAACATCATTTTCACAGAATGAAGACCTTTCAATGAACCCTCCAGCTAAACACATCAAGACCACTACAGTTTAATTCCCAATAAGAAAACCATCGGCAAAGGTTACGCTTATTAGCTGATGGTGGAACAACAGGCGAATGGATCAGACAGCCCATAAATCTAATTTAATATTACCTGCACGCTGCACTGTAATTTATTACAATTTACCAGCATCAAACCAGATAAAAAGTCAGGTGTAGCCTCCAAACAAATGTCCAAATTAAACATTTGGTTTCACTCATCTCATCAAAATGTGACACGTGAAGCAGGGTGGATGAGAAATGAAAGTTTCTCAGGTATTTTCCTCGAGATAAAATGCGCGTGTGGAGAAAAAAAGAGCAACTTTACAGGCAGCATTTTGTTATCTGCTTTGGTAATCAGGGTAAAGTTGGATTCGGTCTAATAACAGAGATAAAAGTCAGAGCTTTTCATCAAAAAACAGGACTTGAATTCTTTTCACTCAACTGTGAAGTTCTCATAAAAAAGATTGCAGATATGTTTTTTATTAACATATTAAAACTACAACCTCAAAAACATTAAAAAAAAAACTTTATGAGTGGTTAAAAATAGAAATTTTGAGAGATGAGTGATTTAAAAAGAGGAAACACTGCAGAATTTTTGGGTGAACATCCTGTTCAGTAATAACACAAACTAAGCCTCAGAGATAAAAACGGGAATGTGCTGACTTCCTTCTACGTTCCCAAAAATGAAAGTGTTTTCTGATTCCACAGAAAGGGTTTCCTGGTACAGATAAAGTGTTTGTACAGTAGGAGGTGTTCTGTTGCCCGATGGCATCTAATGCATCTTCTGTTTGAGATTCTGTCATATTGACACGTCTCAACCAACATCCTTATCCCATCCATCAAAACACACAGACGGCTCTCCTAAAACGCCGTGCGCATCAGTGCCAGTAATGTGAATGTCAAACTTCCTGATGCCTCTCTCGGTTGACTGCAGCTCAGGTGATGGTTAAACACCCAGAGACG